GCCCAGTGTGAGTTTAAGCCACCGGGTCCAGGACTCAAACCACTGTCAACTACATGGGAGTCCAGCAACATAGCCATTATGCCAACTGCTGGTCCCAGCCACACTTTTTCAATCCATTTACCTGTTCATGGACATTCGGGTTGGTTCCATGTTTTAGCAATTTTGAATAATGCCACAATAAACATAGATATGCACTTTTCTAACTATTATTCTCCTATACTTTAAGTAGATACCCAGGATTGGAATTGCTGGATCATATGGTTGTTCTATCTGTAGATTTTTGAGATACCTCCATAGTGCAGGAGAGAACTTTTGAAGGCCCTTGTTCCCCCAGTTTATCTGGTATCTCTTTTCTAGTAAATCTTTTAATAGATCATCTTTCTCCTTTGAATTGTCTTGGCACCTTTGTTGAAAATCAGTTGACCATAATTGTGTGGTTTCATTTCTGGGCTTTCTATTTTGATCCATTGATTTTGTTGTCCTTTTGCCAATTTGAAGCTCTTGATTGCTATAGTTTTATAATATGTCTTGAAATTAGCTGGAGTTCTCCAACTGTATTATACCTCATAATTGCTTTAGTCATCCTAGTTCTTTTGATTTTCCATATAAATAATGAAATGAGCTTGTTGATTTTTACCAAAAAAAAAAAGTATGGATTTCAGTTGAAATATTGAATCTTAGCAATATTGAATCTTCTTTTTTTGAGAGAGAGAGATTTTTGCTGTAGGGTGCATGTGCTTGCTGAAGTTCTAGAGAAGCCGTAGAGAGACAGAAAACGAGAAATCACTGCCTGCGGGGATGGCCATGCCACAATTCCTTCTTCTCTATTCTCCTCTTAGGATTTTGGGTGTGCACATGCACACACACACACACAGCATGAGTTTTAAGCCTCCAGGTCCAGGACTCAAACCATGATTGACTACGTGAGCGTCCAGCAACATAACCATTACGCCATCTGCTAGTCCCAGCAATATTGAATTTTCTTATAATTAACATATTTCTCCATTTCACTTAGGTCCTTTATTCTTCTCATCAGTATTTTGTGATTTTCAGCATATCAAGTCTAGGACAAATTTTGTTAGATTTGTATCTAAGAATTTCTTGGGTTTTGTACTGTTGTAAGTGGCACTTATAAGAAATATAAATTTACAATTGTTTGTTTCTAATATGTAGAAGTACATCGATTGGACCTTGTATCCTTAAACATTCATAAACACATTCTAATATCTTTTTTGTAGATTCTTTGATATTTCCTATATAGACAATCATGTCTATTCTGAATAGATAATTGTATTGTTCTTTTTTCCAAACTTAATGCCTTTTATTACATTTTCTTGCTTTATTGTACCATCTACAGCCTCCTGCATAATGCCGAATAGCTATGGTAAGAGCAGATAGTCTTGTCTTTTTTCCAAACTTAGGGAGAAGCTCTACTGATACTAGCTGCAGGATATATATATAAATATCGTTTCAAGTAGAAGTGATTCTCTTTCATTTCTAGTTTGCTGAATTTTTATCATGGATAAGTGTTGAGTTTTGAGGAATGCTTTTTATGTATCTATTGAGATGGTTATATTTTTTCTCCTATTATAGTCTATTGATATGATGAGTTATACTGATTGATTTGAATTCTTAACAAGTTTCACACTAGTGAGATAAACTTTATGTAGTCATGATTTGTTATCCTTTTAACATATTGCTAGATGTATTTTACTAATATTTTGTAGAGGATTTCTGCATCTCTATTCATAAACTTGAATTAATATTAAATAAATACCAATTAACAGAAGGCCTTCTAAGAACTTCTAGTTAAGGTGAACTATATAATTTGCAGTAAACCTCCTGGTGAAGACAATAAGGAAAACTGAAAAAATAGAAAAGGAGAGAAAAAAATTTTGTTTTGTTTTGTTTTCTTTTTGTTTTGTTTTGTTTTTGAGATTTTTGCTATAGGGTTTATATTCTCACTGGAGAGACAAAAAGGCAGTAAGTGAGAAATCACCACCCAGGGAGATAATCATGCTGCAGTCCTCTCTCCTCTATTCTCCTCTTGGGATTTTGGGCGCACATGCGCTTGGCCCAAGTTTCAAGCCTTTGGTTTTGGGATTCGAACCACTGTCACTGATGTGGGAGTCCAGTGACATAACCACCATGCCACCTGCTGGCCCCAAAAGAAAGTTTTTAAAAGCGTCCCATCATACTGACTGGTCAAATCCTCACAGTTAGAGTGAGGGAAATATTTACATAAGATACCTTTCATTTTATAATTACATTTGTAATTTTTACAATAAAATATATATATATTTTCAATCTGGCATAAATAGTTTCTTTTCTCCTTTTGTTTTTCAAAGGTAGATATAAATGCATTAACCCACAACCTGCAGACTCTAAAAGAAGAGAATAAGCACCTGGCAAATCACATGGCTTCTCTAGAACTTCAGCAAGTCACTTCTGATTACCACGGGGTGGGTATAAAAAGGTCAGTCGGCAGTAGGGATTTATCACTAATTAGTTTTAAAACAATAAGAAGTCAAGAGATGAGTTTTCTTGGTACCAGCAGTTAGCGTAATGGCTATGTTGCTGGACTCCCATGTAGTCGACCACGGTTCGAGTCCCGGACCCGGTGGCTTAAACTCATACTGGGTGTGTGTGCATGTGTGCCGAAGATCCCAAGAGGAGAATGGAGGAGAAGGGATTGTGGCGTGGCCATCCCCCTGGGG